TCGAGTATTTCAACTTCGAGTATGAACATGCATAACGGAAGAGGAATACTGAGTGGGGGTACACACAGGGCGTAAATGGACACTCGGAAAAACATTTCCGTCTCATTATCCATCATCAGTCTATCAAGTACGGTGCATGCCAGCTTTGCCGAGTAACCGAGAATAAGGTGCTTTATTGGTTAGTAACTTCCGTCGGAGGAGTATTGAAGAGTTATCGGAGATGGACGCTCCGCCTGAAATACGAGAAACACGTATTGTGGCAAGATTTCTGCATGGGAAGAAAAGCGACGCAGGGTTGTCGGAAGTTGAAATTTCAGACATGAAATGCAATCCGTGGAAATTTCATATTTTTAAGGAAATTTTAGGAAAAAGACAATAAGCAGACGATGAACTTATCTCTAGTGCCCCGAAAGCTCCTAAAACAATTATTCTGTTAGACGCTATACAAGACATAACGAACTGACAACCGCATACGCAATCAGGACCGATTGAAGGAAAAACGATTGAAATGACACGCGCCAGATGTCATAACCGTTTCACAACATGGTGATTTCATGTGTGCTGGTATACAACATGGTGTGCTGTGTTTAATGCTTGGAGTAGCTCTCTAGAAGTCTCTGTTAGAGTCAGGATGGAGTTCACTCACATGGACCCGAGTCTACTACACAGATTTGTTGATTAAATCAACAAATCTGTTGAATCGGCTGATCCAACTTGAATATAAATTTTATATTCAAGTTGGATCAGCCGAATGACGACATGGTCTCTGATGAAGGAGACGTCTTTATCTCTAACTCAACCCTTGAGAGATTCTTCACGGTTACAGAGGAGAGGGTTGCTGATGATAAGATCCAGAATACGTTCATCCGCCGGTGCGGGTGGGATCAGGGATTCACACTCAGGGATGAACACTGGGCCGAATTGGGCCTGCTACCACCCCCTACCAAGAAGTGTTGAAAACGCCGAAAGTCTTCTATGGTGACCTCAACAGCAAGCACCAACAGCGATCCTTCCCTCAATTCTACTCCCAAGATTTTGCACTTCTTTCTGAAGGTGCAAGCTGGTGATGAGGTCAAAATTTGACCGTCAAATCATTTCATAAGAATCATGTTGCTCTGGCTACGGCTATGAACTGGAGTCTCAGAGACATTACTTCTAAGAAAAGCGACGCAGGGTTGTCGGAAGTTGAAATTTCAGACATCCGGGGTACAAGTCACTCACATATGAAGAAGCAAAAAAGATCAAGGTGGATATTTTTTAGAGAAACGGGGGAACTCTGTTTAGAGGAGGTTTTCGACAAAACCAAGCAGAGATTCCTAGAACGACAAGACCTCCGCCAAGTTTGCAAAATTTTTTTCACCTTTGAAACAAATTTCGTGGAAATTTCCGTATGAAGTTTCAATCTCAGAAATGGCCTTGCGATTTCCATGAAATCGACAACCCTGAAGCGACGAGAAACCGTTAAGATTCACGAGATTCCCAGCTCGAGACAGGAACATTCGTCAAGGGTCGGAAGTGAATTACGATCGCTTCTTCGTATGGCAATGTCTGAAAACTAATACGGTATTTTTAATTCTTACTGAAATCCAGCAAGAGACAGCCAACTTATTCCGATTTCGTGACGTACGAGCTGGAGGAGTATGCTCGATTGTGGAGCCCATTTGCAAAGGAATGATGGGTGATGGAGGATTGAAAATAGTAAAGACATACGACTATGTCGTACCGACGGTCTACGATCGGGAGAAATTGGTGAATCTCTTGACGTTCACCTCCACCGGTGACATCAAGGCTTTTGGCATGAAGAATGTGATCATATAATTAGGGCCAACGTGGGTGGAAGACCGACTTCGTTCTGGCGAGACCTGCGATCGTCAGTATCCAGCGTCAACTGAATGCTTCTGTCTCAGCAGAGCACGGAGGAATAGCTGGGCACTTCGGTCGTTTATTTGCTCAGAAGCCTTCCCTGGAGGACAGTGTGAGCACCAAAGTGCTTCTTTCTCGTCACTCTATTATCTGGTATCTTCGCCTCACTCAGCCTTCTCGATTATAGCATTGATTCTGAACTTTATCTGCGCGAGTAGCAGCAATATCGAAGATTTTTTGCTGCACGATACTGATCTCACCTCCAGCACAGCGGTTGTAAAATTGAATTTGGATGAGTGGTCCAAATATATGCGTGATAGGGTCCAAATGTATACGCTACACCTGGGGGGAAGTATGGCGATAGTAACGTAGATCTACCACAGGATACGAGTGGACTGATTTAACTACAATCAACCGTATTGGTTCTAGTCTCTCTGGAGCTTATCCGGCTGCACTCAATGACGCTCTTGTAGTCTTGGATGATCTTCTGGATTTCTCAAATCGGTACCCTAAGTACTGGGACACCTACTGGGTCTCTACTCCTTCGGGAGCTGCTGAGAATGTGAAGTGGTATGTAGTGAAGCCTTGGGTCAACAAGTCTCAGGGGTTCGAGTTCCTAGCCGCTTCTCTGCCATGCTTGCATAATATACGTGATATCTATTCGATGGATATTCCTCTAGCATGTTGGACTTTCTTCTACTGGATGGAATATAAATGTGAATCTCCTATCAAACGGAATCGGTCTCGTGAAGTACTGCGTTATTTTATTCTCCACGGTGTAGAGAAGTCGGTTGCTTTGCTTCGAAGGTATGAGCATGGCCATGCGAGAACCTTGTGTAGTCAAGAGCTTCCACTCATCGATCATCTATACTCCGGTCCAGGCGCTGCCTCTAGCTTTTTCATCAATCGCCGAGGTGTCATTCCATAAATGAGTAAGGTCTCATCCACTCCCTAAGTGCTCGATTCTCATCCGTGCTGAAACCTTTAGCCTAAAGTGAATGATGGAAGAATGGGGATTTCGCTGATTGATCTGAACGGTGATGGCATGTTTAAACGGTTAGAGCTAGACGATATTTCATATTCCAAGAGGGATCACTCCGTATCCGCTCTTATCATTCTCTATATGGTTAACTGGTATAACCTCCGAGTACATGCGTGCGTGTGCCAATTCTTGGTGGGAGCGATGCCGAGTAGCCCTTCATTCTCCAACTCGAATGAAAAGCCGTTCCGGATTGTAAGAATGCGGGTGCTGAGATAACGCGAAGTCCATCGGTGTGCCTCGAAGAATCCGAGACTCCATCGGGCACTTCATGGAGGTTTCCTCCATGTCGGGAAAGAGGACTTCGCCAAGGCCTCGGATTGGGAGCAAAGCGACCCACCTCTCCGTGAGCTGAACTTCCCTAATTCATCTCTTGTTCTTACGGTGTCTACCGGAGTCGACAAGAAGTACCTGAACGAGAGCAACGTGAACTAGTTTCTAGGACTTGTCCGAGGAGAGAGGATGGTGGAGACTTTTCGACGACCTCAAGGACATCTGCAGGAGACTTTATGCGATCAGCATCTCCGAGAGCTGCTGAAACTGGAGGGAAACCAGTTGCTCATGCGTAAGTTTCCTGAGGGATAAGGTTCGTTATCATCAGATCGCTGTGGGAATCCGCAAAGACCTCTTAAGCCCCTCAGACTCAGATCTCTCACTAATTAACTTGAGTCGAGGGCGTCCCGGCCGGTCCTCGAAGCATCGGCCAGCGCTGGTTAGAAATCTGAGTCTCGACGGGGTTGCTAAGGACCGCAGGCGCAAGCACTAGGAGCTCTGGCCTTATGTCCGAGCACCTGAGAGCACCAAGTGCTCAGCACTTGTATACTGCAGTCATTGTCATGCGCAAAACAATAAGTCTGGCTTACTCATTTCTGTCTCTCGTCGTCATGCATCCGTCACTAGCAAATAACTTATTTGAAATAAGTTATTTGAGGAGCATGTTTGTTATTTGAAATAACAAACATGCTTCTCAACAACTGAAAAGCAATTGAGTTACAAGTGGAAGTGGCAGTACTCGTCGTCATCACGACTCGTGACTCACGAATCGTGACTCACGAGTCGCGATCCGTGACCACAGCAATAACAATACTCGACCCAGCATCATCGTAGTCACGACCATAGACGTAGCAATAACCCCCTCAGTGCTTATTGTAGTCGCGAACCGTAACAATAGCGATAGTGCGAAATGGCGTCACTACACAATGCATCACATTTAACGCGTTTCAGCTCGAGTATTCCTTTTGAAGCTCCTTGTTAGATAGTAGTGGGGCTGTATCGACTCGTTGGTTGAGCATGTGTAACGAGTCGTTCAGGCTGATTCACGAACATTCTTCCTCCTCTACAAAACTAACGCAAAAATAACAGTCCGTAGCTCTTCTGGAGTGTGAGTATATTCAACACTGCATGCATGAGAAAACGACAGTATGGACTAATGCCATTGGTGGAGGTGTAGTTTGCAGTAGACATCCAACGCAGGGGCCATGTAGCGAGTAGTGCTTCATTGTGACTGAGAAGGAGGAGACAATGGAGTGGTGTTCATTTGAAAACGAATACCTGATTGTGAAGGGAAAACACTTCGGCGAAGCGAAACAACTGCAGAGCACATCGTCAACGATTATGGTACCACTTGATGTTAAAGGGCAGAATATTCCTAACAAGCCCACATACAAGTCACCCAGTGAATCACTCACCCATGCAAGAGATTTCTCTCGAGCCTGCAATAGAAACTTCTGTAGTGCATGCGCCCTCCAGAGGGTCGAGAACACACACTGACTGGAGTCGATCGGCTCTGACGAAGTCCCCAATTCGAGGATCAAATATAAGATGATCCGCTGAAGTCGTGAATGTTCTTTTCCCATATATTTCGAATTGCAGGAAAATTCCAGTCTGAGAGAGAGCTGACTACTGCTCCTCTAAAAAGGTCCATCCCACCTCTCGAGGACTGTGATGTAGCCAAGCAACGACCTTCTCAAAGGTGATCAACCCTTTGTCAGTTACGACAAGTACTGAATCTTCCAGCGTCAACCTAACACGCGTCATGCGGTATCAACAAGCCATGACAGAGTGTACTCGTCCATAGTGATCTCGCCCTTTCCCTTCACTCTAACTCTCGCTGTTCCCGGGAAGCATAGTGGAAGTGTGCCCATTTCTCGTTCGATGGCATTAGCGCATTTGTGTTGATCTGTCGGTGGGAACTGCCGACTGAGGCGAACAAACCATCGATGACTTGTAAATCAATGAGGGTAGCAGAATGATATTGTAAAAAGATGGGCGCAGTCCACATTACACTACGGAGTTTTGGTCCCAACTCAGAGTCAGCTCTCAATTGTGTATACCTTGAAAATCCTAAGTAGTTGTTCACGCACGGTGTTCGTTCCAGAACAAAACGGCCTTAGTACTACTACTGGATATATGAGGCTATTAAGTTAGTAGCCTCATATATCCAGTGTAGGATAAAATGCACATGATCAACTACATGTGTTGATAAAAATGCGAAAATTCTGAGGGAATTTTGAAAAAAAAACTCTTGATGGTTTCTCTACACTTCTACCCGAATTCGTATATAGACTTCCCTAATTAGTGAGGGAACTACCGAGCTCAGCTTAGGAAAGTGAACATATACTTCCCTACAGAACCGTAATAGATCACGGTTGGGGAGATGTCAGTTAACCCTGATTCATGCGGCGCTTAAAATTGACTACCAATTCTCTATTTCTCAATATTCCACCTCTTTCATTGCTGCTTATCCACCAAGTGATGCCTTACTAACCGAGAACCCCAGAGAGATTCTGAAACTTCCTTCATTGTTTCTAATACTCAGCACTAACTCACTGGGCGAGCATTATGTCTTCATCGAGATTTATCGTGATTAACTACATATGAATGTACATGATGTACTATGAATATATACAGGAACATATATGTGTATATATTAACTATGTATATTAGCTTGTATTAACCTACGCGCATTCCCGTATGCAGCCTTCCATATCCCCTTTATTGCACGTAAAGGTCTGTCCATTGATATTCAGTACTCTAGCCTCCCTCTCATACGGTATCTGATGCAGTACTCCGTGATGGGAGCTTACTGCAAGAGATGACGCTGTAGGGTCGGCGTGTGACAATAGACTTGCTGTCACCATTCAACGTGTAATCTACGGTAGAGACTATTATGTCGTTTCAATGTAGTTTGACACGATTCCCCATGATGATCTTCGGAGTGAGTTAATGGGAGTCGCAGCTTCACCAGTTTTACCCGTTTCCCCGTGAAGTGGCGCAATACTCTGTGAAAACCCAATATTCGCGGTGCTATGCAGTAGTCGTAAAATAATTTTCCACTAGTCTTTTTCATATCACGGGTGAAACTCCAATATATGCCTACATGCATGCTCTCACTAGCAGCGGCTTAGTCCAGGTACATTAAGTTCGGAAGTAAGCGTGTGAATTGCAAATGCCGCACCAGAAAGCGACATCGCTCTGATTCTGTTCCACCATTTCGCTACCTCACAGAGAAAAATACTGGGGCGGTTTAACTCGAGGAAAAACGTCACCCCACTATCTGCTGGTCCCGACCCTTCCATAAGCTGCAACACACATCATGTCGTCATGAAACTAAGTATTTCATGCGGAGGTATTCCACCTCCGTCAAAGATGATGAAGCCGCATCAGTTGAATTATCAGGAGTGTTATCGACAGTAGAAAGCCCCTCAGCTGACCGTAACAGGACTGCATGCAACCTCACAACTTCCTCATCGACGAGCTTATTAAGCATCTCCTCCACCACAGGGACCAGCCAACCCTCCTCTAAATCAACGGACACCTAACGGACATCTTTTGAATCTTTATCGGTCAACCTATAGATATCTCCTCACCATTCGACGCAGCTCTTCTAATTCTTCCTCGGGCATTCCATTGACCTCGGCCTCTTCAATGAGACCCATCAGTTCCCTTACAGTGTCTTGCCATTCCCGGAGTGTTGCCGACTGGACTGAACACAGTCCCGTCCCCAGAGGTCGAGCTATTGTATATTCCTGCACTGAATATTCCCTAGGTGGTTCAGTGATGAGAAAATTTGTTCCCTTTCCTCAGATGAGTTCAAGAGTTTCCTCGCTAATTATGGGAGTCTACACACAAACTTGGGTAGGAAGTGTACAGAAATCAATGAGAACTTCTCCAAGTTTCCTCAGAATTCTCACATTTTCACCAACACACATAGCTGATCATGTGCATATTTCCCCCTCCCCACACCGAGCTGGTTTCCAACATTCATAGTACGAATTCCATATTCTCATCAATTCCCATGGTGTTGAAGAAATACTATGTTTGACATTCTCCAATATCAACAAAACTTCCGAATTTTCATAATCAGTTTACCGACAACATCAGGAATGCTACCGCTGTCTTATTATAAATCAAATCTGCTGTATTAATAACGTCAACGTGTACTTCACAGCGAGAAAACGCATCAAGCTTCGAGAAATAACGTTCCCTAGTGTCTGCTAACGGTTGGAAAAATTTTTCCAAATGTGACATTCACATGGGAAACTGATTAGAGACTGTCTTCCTAGCCATGTAGAGGATTAAAAATGAGTATACTTCATGCATACGCATATACTATATGCATATACTCCATATATGAAAGTACGTATACTATATAACTACATATGCTTATAGTGTATATATACTATACATAGCTATGCATATAGTGTATGTATATTATATAACTATGCATGCAGTGTATATATACTATATAACTATGCATATTGTGTATATATACTGTATAACTATGCATATAATGTATATATACTATATACATTGAGTATACTGTACATATGAATTTGTTTCCGCGCATATACCAGAGCTGAGCCGCTCATATCGGAGCTGCTGAGTTAACAGCCATACTCCTATACGGACTACTACCTGCCTGTTGAAAGGAGTGCTGCTCTATACAAAAATTATAATATATTCTTACCTTGACGATTTCCTCCTACGACTTTCACCCTCTGACCAGAATCGGCATCAGCTCGAATCTCACTACTTTGAACTGACAAAAAACATGAACCCGCTTAAGAGTCGAGACCATACTGGGAGCATCCTCAACAACAGCAGTCTCATCGGACGGTATCATCTCAATTCGCTCCCCTCTCAGGTCTTCCAATTCTGTTATCGAGGGCTCGCTGGGCTCGTGTGTAGGGTAGTGCACTGAAACACTCTTCTTCAACATTCCGTTACGAAAATGTGCCAGAAAAATTGTCAAGAATTTTGTCGGTGACATATTTAACCAATATAATAGTGTTAGGAAAGCCTATATACGAAATTTTACCTCCATGTAAGCTCGTGGTAAAAAGTTATGCCGGTGACACGAAACGGTGACAGTCAAAGCACCACCGGCCTCACCTTCCTCAGAATCTTCAACGACGATTCTCCGAACTCGTCTCGCCGCGTTTCGTCTTCTTTTCTCTTCCGCATTGGCTCGTCTGAAGTCATCTTAAACACCCTCTTGAGCGGAAGAAGAATCCTTTACAGTGCGTTCGGCGTGACCCCCAGGGAAACATCTCTCTGGGCTCGGGCGCGAATCTTCTCAAGGTAGTTCAGCAATGTTGAAGCACGCCGACCGTGGTCCATTTGAATTCAATTATGAACCTTTAGCGATTTCATTCAGAGTTTTGATTCTGTGATCTCAGAAAATCACGCACATTTTCCACATTCTGTTAGTGATTTCCCCATTGAGATAACACTACACTGGATATAATTGCACGAGAATGCCTTCCAACGCCTTTTAATGCTTAGCCGACGAAGACTATCTTCACCATAAGCTTAGCTGAGGAAATCCTCCAGCCTAGAGAGACATACTGTGTTCTACGGGGGACTGGGACAGCATAAATGGTGCAGCAGCATCTTACAATTCGCAAATTAAATTGATAGGCACTGCATGGGGTATACCATAATTATGCACATGAACGATGAAACGTGAGGAAGTACCCGATCTAACCTCACACAGAGAACGATTGACCCTGAACGAGAAAATTCGAATACCACTCACTCTGAACAAACACCAAAGCGTGATAATGCTGATCTCATTGGAGACAGCTCAGCACACGAGTCGGGAATGGCATGAACCAGCCGAAGTGGTTCGTCTGCAGCTACATCATCTGGAATGGATACGTGTAAGACTATGCTAGTGATTCGAGGTAACACCACACTGGATATGATAGCAGGGGAATGCCTCAGAAGACAGCCTGATTATGCTAAATCGATGTAGACTATCTTCGCGATGAGCTTAGCTAAGAGATTCCTTCTGAAGGAATTCTTCACCCGATGGATGGATGGTGACAGCGACAATAATGCATGAGCATCTTCTGACGAGAAAAGGCGCCCTCAACCTACCAGTGTTGGAATATGATCGCTTTCCTCAGCTGAGCTCAGGAGGTTCCTCACTAATCAAAGGAGTTCATATACGAGTAAGGTTAGCAGTACACAGAAACCAGCAGGAATTTCCAAAATTTCCTCAGAATATTCATATCTTCCTTCACCAACACATGTGGTTAACCACGTGCAATTTTCACCGCACTGCAACCTACCGTGCAGTCTCAACTGCTTTACTTGTTCGTAATACCAATCCTACTTCACCTCTAAGTCGTTCAAGCCCATCTCAGAGAGAGAGTGAACCTCCACGCTGGAGTTGGATGGACGAACAGTAGAAAACTTCTCTAGCTCTGGCGAGGCCAGTCTTAGATCGATCCGGTCACCAACAAGATGATTGGGCTCGCGAGGGAGTAATTGGTCCAATCCCACCTTTAACCGATTCCGTGAGGGGTGTAGAGTCCTACCATTCAGGCTGAAGGTAGTTTCACTACCGTAGTGACCGCTAAGACATGTCTGCACCTGCTGTGGTGTGCCGTTTATGGGTGCGTGAATAATTTCAACTCGTAGTTTTTACACGTGTTAAAACGTTTTTCTAATCCAAAATGTCTCGCTCGCTACAGTCACCGGGACATCATTTGTGCGAGACATCCTCCGTAGTTACTTTTGCAGTGATCACTCCACCATCTTTGTGAGCGCCACTCGTCCACTATCCCCTTTAGTTGTTTTAAAATAATAATATCATACGCATGACAGTAGCTCATATCAACACGATTGACGGCCTTGAGAAGGCATTTGGCGAGAGCGGCGACAAGCTGGTTGTTGTTGATTACTTCGCCAACTGGTGTGGCCCTTGCGTTAGCATGGGGCCTAAGGTCGAGGCCATGTCTACTGAGTTCGACGGGAAAGTGACGATCCGCAAGCTACTAATCTCAGCTGTTCAATTCAATGCTCTCAGGCCGCTTTCATTAAAGTTGACGTCGATGCGGCAGAGGACGCAGCCGAGAAGGCCGAAATCCAGGTTCTTCCCACTTTCGTTTTCTACAAGGGTGGTAAAGAGGTAAGCATGTTGGTTGTACTGCACCTCGGGACTGGCATTGATTTCTGTGCAGGTCACTCGGATGAGCGGTGCGAGTGAAGCCCGGCTTCGTGACTTGGTCCAGGCCAACTGCTAGGTCCATTCAGTGCGGTTTTATACATATGTTGTTCATTGCTGATTATAGCCCAAAAAGAAGCTCGTCAGCAGCTGAAGCCAGTCGAGTTGAGTTAGGTCAGTAACATTTCCGTTTAACTGAGTGCATGGCATTTTTCTGGCCGGTTCTTTCCGACGAGGCTCCTGCTAGGGCCTAGCCTAGCAGCTAGGCTCCATCAGATCCCAACCTGATTAGTTGATAATCTCGATATTCGCTAGGGTTAGTTACTCTGAGTACTGTATGCGCCTTTTTCATATACTCGCCGAGCTTCAAGGATGATCGAAAGTCTCCATTTTCGCTCCCATTGTATTCTTGCTACAGGGTGATGGAAAAGACAGGGCTCACCCCTCGAAATTTCTCAGCGTATGTGAATATCAGACGTACTATTTTGAAGGTCTCGACGAGCTCGCCAGTGCTAGTTGAATCAATTCCAAACTCTCTATACTCAGCAAGTTTTGACGATATGGATAAGGCCGCGTATAGGGAAAAGTTTTGGCAGATCCCATAGCTGGGGTCTTCCCGTCTATCGATGGTCCAACATAGCGATGCAACATGTGCAACGATATTTCACCATTTGGCTGTGGAGCGGTAAACCAGGTTGGGGCGCCTATGCCATCGTGCGTCCAACATAGCGATATGCAACGATATTTCATCATTTGACTGTGGCGCGGTAAATTAGGTTGGGGCGCCTATGCCATCGTGCGTCCAACATAGCGATATGCAACGATATTTCATCATTTGACTGTGGCGCGGTAAATTAGGTTGGGGCGCCTATGCCATCGTGCGTCCAACATAGCGATATGCAACGATATTTCATCATTTGACTGTGGCGCGGTAAATTAGGTTGGGGCGCCTATGCCACCGTGCGTCCAACATAGCGATATGCAACGATATTTCATCATTTGGCCGTGGCGCGGTAAATTAGGTTGGGGCACCTATGCCATCGTGCGTCCAACATAGCGATATGCAACGATATTTTATCATTTGGCTTTGGAGCGGCAAACCAGGTCGGGGCGCCTTTGCCATTGCTCGTGGTGAAAAAAAGAGTAACTTTCGGTGCTACTCAAGTATACTGCCCTCTCATTCAGAGTCACTCGAGAGGTGAGGAGTCGGACAGCTTGAATGTATTTGAGATGCAGTAGCTCCACCCCAACGTGAGCTCGGAAACACATGGAGCTCCTTGAATGAACGACGCCGTTCAGTGGTTCCTGAGGGTTCTCATCATGTGAATCGGATGTTCACGACGTATACCGCCGATAGTGTGAAGCATGCACAATGGGAAATCGACACTTCCTCTCCCCGCCGACATCCTATCTACTCTTTTTTATACCCATCAACTTGACGGTTCCCTCCATCGTAGTCGCCTGCCTGATTTGGTCATGGTCTATGTAGGATATTGTTTATGGGTTATTTCCCGCGTTAGGCGTTCCGAGTTTCTCATCGCATTATATGTTCCGCAGGCGTGTTCCAATCTGTGATTCCTTCCATTCCATTTCAAGTCACGCACTCCCAAATTGGATGTTCCAATGCCATTGCTGACCGTGCTCCCTTGAGGAAATCCCAACGTAACGGTGGTCAACTAGAGCGTATGAGAGTTGATCAAGTCAGAGCCAGTCTGGAGGTAGATGATAAACCCTCACACAGCCATGGAGGTGCGCTCGTTGGGAACAACATTTTCTTTGCTAGTATCATCCTAGTTATTAAGTGAGTTATATTATTATAGAGGTTAGCTTATATGTGCGCATTTTGCCCAAGTTCAAATCTATAGTAACACATCATGTGTGTTGCACGGAGAGCCAATGCTTCGAGCACCCTTTCGATGACTGTTATTGTGTGTCCGCCGCAGGGGGAACGAATAGAGTTCCGGACACGACGCCGACTCACTCCATGCATGTCTTTCCTATCATTTTATAGCTAGCTCTATTCATCGGCCCAGTTCCTGATGGCCAGATTCTCTGTGACATAAGCTACCCTCCTCTTCCTCTCCACAACGAAGCGCCCCGTGAGCACTCATCACTGTCTCTTGTGAAGAACATATTCTCAGCTCATGTTGAGAGATGCAATATTGTCTCCATTAAGAGGCTCAAATCAAGGTGATTCCAGAAGGATATAGCTCGCCATATACAAGAGATTATTGAATTCACCACTTGCTGTTGTTGTTGCTGTTGTTGTTATTGAGAGGAATCCCTGCTACCTGATCCACCTGACCCGTCCTGCCACTCATAGCGTGGATAAGGCAAAGCAGCTGTCACCACTCCTCAAGTCGCAGTCCGAATGGTTTGCCCCACTCGGTAACACAACAAAAGGGGAGTATGAAGAGAATGGACGGAATTCCTTTCTAAGTCTGAGCTGCGAAAGCAGCTAGGGAAAACCCCTCTATCTTATTCATTCCTTCATCCCCTCCAGCTTCTTCTCAGCCAGAGTCGCCTCATAGGTCATACCAAGTTCCTTCGCCTGACGCCAACCACTACTGAACACCACGACAGAAACCTGCTAGTCACCTCGTTCATCGCGGCTTCCAACTCTTGTCTGGTCCTGCCCGTACGGAGGCGACTACGGACCTCCTCTGGGTCAGTCTTACCGCCACTATCACCTACGATCAACAGAGGAATCACCAACGACTCGCCCATGACTTTTCCCCTTACCCTCCAGTTTAGTCTGCGATTGTGCTCTTAGGAGGGCTTGACGAGCCTTAGCCTGACACGTCCAATCATTCACGCCAATCCTTCATTCCCCTACCTCTTTGATCAGCTGATTCAGATCAGCTTTGTCAGCTCCCGTGGGGCGATTCGGGACGGAACCTCTCCTGGGCTGACCTCCAGCGTTGCTGAACAACCGCCTTACCCCCATCACGCACATACAAGAGCTTACTTCATGAAGAAACTGGGTTGTCCTTGTCCCTGCTGGCTACCCCGACGGCTGCTCCGAGAGGCGCTCCCCAAGGCCCTAGCCGTCTGAGCTCCTCTCTTGGTCTGTTCTCCCGCGCTCGGCAAGCTTGGCAGAGTGATGGAGTCAGTGCGAGCCCGGCTCGGCTTAGCTTCGATACCCTGAAGGGAGGCATGTGCTCACAA